AGGACATCGCAACAGAATTGTGTGGCTGAGCACATGAACAGAGCAACCACAAGTCGTGCTAGGAGCATGAGGTTGCATGCAGACTTGTCGAAACAATTTTGGGTTGAAGCAGTTAACACTGCAGTTTATCTGATTATTCGTAGTTCGTCAGTACCTCTGGAGGAAGGCTTACCTGAAGAAGCTTGGATGAAAAAAATGTATGTCTATCTCATTTAAGATTATTTGGGCGTTCTGCATATGTACATGTTGATGCAGATTCTAAAAACAAGCTTGACTCAAAAATTTTCAAGTGCACCTTCATTGGATATGAAAAAAGTTCTCGGATTATCATAATTAGAAATTCACAAGATTTTGAGTCATGCTTACTTTTAGCAGAAGGGAGTGGTATAAGTTCTGGGATTATAGAGCAGAGATAATCTTGCAGTTCTTGTTGATGAGTTTGGGTACAAGTTATGAGATTATCAGAATCAGAAATTCATCAGGAGCAGTGACGTCACTTTCAATGAAATGGAGATGTACAAGGACAGGGTTAGAACTCAGGACAGTCTGCCAGCTACTTCTAAAGAATCCAAATATGTGGAGATGGATGATATTGGTGATCAGGAGGATGGAGAGAGGATAAGTGCTCAATCAGAAGGAGTACTCGAAGTTCCTTACACACTTACTATAGAAGTTAAGAGATCCGACAAAGGGAAATAACCCATACGAAGATATTTTCCTTCTTTAAACTATTTGTTACTAACTGATAGTGGCGAACTAGAGTGCTTTGAGGAATCCACTCAAGTTGAAGTTTCAAGGGAGTGGGAGCTCTCCATGGATGAAGAAATGAAATTTTTGGAATCAAATTAGACTTGGGATTTGACGGTACTATCAAATGACAAAAGAGCACCGTGGAACAAGTGGGTCTACGGGCTGAAAGAGTAGTCAGATGGTAGCAAACGCTACAAGGCATGACTTGTTGTGAAGGGTTTCCAACAGAAGAAATGAGTGAATTATACTGAGATATTCTCCCCCGCGGTGAGGGCGATGATTGTCATGGTTGAGCTGAGTCTGGTGGCAGTGGAATATCTACATTTAGAGTAGATGGATGTAAAGACAACTTTCTTACATGAAGATCTGGAGGAGGAGCTATACATGGTGCAACCACAAGGTTACAACGTTTCAGGCAAAGAATCTTTGGTCTTCAAATTGAAGAAGAACTCAGTGGCTTGAAGCAGACCCCAGGACAATGATACAGGAGGTTTGACATGTTTATGTCATAAGATGGGTACTTAAAGTGCCAAACAAACTATTGTTGCTTTATCAAACACTTTAGTAGCCATTGTATTTAGCTTGTCTTGTATGTAGATGATATGTTGATTGCAGAGGCAGATATGGAGAACATCCGAGACTTGAAGAATCAGTTTTTAATTTCAAGATGAAGAATTAGGTTCAATTAGGAAGATGCTCGGGATGAGAATCAACAAGGACATGAGTGCAAGAACACTGAAGTTGTCTTAGGCAGAGTATGTTGAAAACATCATACAGAGGTTCAACACGAGTGAGGCGAAACCATTTTGCACTCCCTTAGATAGTCACTTTTAAACTATCTAAGGAGCTATCACTTAACTTTGAAGCAGAGCAAACACAGATGGAGAGAATTTTGTATACTTTAGCAGTTGGAAGTTTGATATACGTGATGATTTGTTCTAGATCAAATATTGCATATGCAGTGGGAGTTGTCAGCAGACACAAGGACAATCTAAGCAGACATCATTGGGAGGCGATAAAGTGGATTCTCAGGTATTTGAGAGGAACAATCAATTGGGCACTTTATTATGAAAATATTGCGGTCATTCTACATGGACTCGTAGATTTAGATCTGACAGGAGATGTGGACAATAGAAGTACAATGAGATATATCTTCACATTGGGGAGCACAGAGGTGAGTTGGGTTTCCAGGTTGCAGAAGATTGTTGCACCTTTTACTACGGAGGCCGAATATGTTGCTTTTGCTGATGCTAACATGGAGATGATTTGACTACAGAGTTTCATGTCATAATTGGGTAAGAAGTAGGGGATAAAAAAACTCTATAGTGATAGTATGAGTACGATTGATCTTGTTAAGAACATAGTTTTTCATGCCAGGACTAAACACATCCACCTCAGGTATCATTTTATTCTATCTTTCTAGAAGAAGGACAATTATTTTTGGAAAATATACATACAATTATTTTTGGAAAATATACATACATCTGAAAATTCTTGCGGGTATGTTGATGAAGGCGGTGATTGTTGAGGAACCGAAGCTGTACTTGACTTCAGTTGAGTTTCCTGAAGGTTGAGATCAGGGATGAGCCACACCACGATATGTGACCATAACACGTGAAGACAATTCAGATGGAAGTGTAAGTACAGAGGATTAGACATGGTGCTATTAGTCTCCAAGAGGGAGATTGTTAGTTGTGGAGTTTGATTGTAGCTCCTAGGAGTAGCAGACAGTCTGATTTCTACGCAGTCAGTGCGCCCGGTACAAAGATACCGGGCTGCGGGTACTTAGGTGCCCATTGAGTGTTCCCAAATTGAGGTGGAAGTCCTGCGCCAAAACTGGGCGCTTAGGTGCCCAAAGCGCCCACTTTTGGTGTTGTGGCGTCTGCTTTCAGAGAATTGGGCGCCTAGGTGCCTGGAGCAACTTTCACGAGAACTGTTATTTATGCACGATTTCAGGCAACGTATGTGCGGGCTTGGAGCGTAACTCTTCTTGTTTGTTCATCAACAAAATTCTGGTGAAAGCGAGAAGTGTTGGTGAGAAGAATCATGGTGTTGTTCGACTTGAGTTTCTGCATCGAATGAGTAGGAAGAGTGTGGAGTGGTGCAATGTAAGTTTCTTCATGTCAGTGTGGAAAAGAAATTTGTTTGAATTATTTGTAAAACTCTTTGAAATTCATAGTCAAATTTATGGTGGTGCAGTTCCGTGGTTTTTCCCATTCTCGGATTTTTCCACATAAAACTTCTGTGCTCTTTTTTGCTTATTTTTTTATTGCGCTTTTGGTTTAAATTTATTGTTCTAGTTTTCTCGAATCCTTTAATGCTATTCCGTTTTGATATTGGGAATTGTTTGGAGGATTCTCAACAGTTTTACCAAACCTTATTGGATTAGAATACCTCACATTTTAGTTCTTTAAAGCTTAATGTTTTTTGCATCCTCAAAGCCTTGTTCGATACCAATTGTTGAGAAGAGAGAGAAAATTTTTAACAAGAACATAAATGAAGATGGGAATAAAGTTTTTGAGAACATAAACTCAAGAAATTTTATGGTTATTGTAGGTATTGTCTTCTCTCTATATTGTTGTAGTTTGGATGAGAAGCACTCCTTATTATGACCAATATATTTTCCTTTTGTTAGAACCAAATGTAACAATACTTTGTCATTCTTGAAGAAGTAGGTCTCCCGTATAAGTGCTTGTAAAACCCTTCATTTATGTTTTGCAAATTTTGTGTTTTGCAGATTTTGTAATCTGAGTTAATAGTCATTTGATTTAAAAGTTTATGTTTTGCAAATTTTCTGTTTGTTTCATGGCTTATCACACTGCTTATTGTATTTGCATTGGTAGTGGTAGATCTTATGAACTCCTACATCTTGTTATGTGTAGCCCATCTTATTTTTTAAATTATGGTTGATTTCACATCTTCTTACTCTAGAACCTTCTTATTGTATCTGCATCGGTTGACCTTCTTTCAAGCTTTTAACATTGAATTTTGACGTGTTCATGTGGGTTTAAGGTTAGATAATATTGTTGACTTGGGAATATCAAAATTTATTATAAATTTAGCTAATTTGTTTATTAGAAGATAAGAACCTTAGGGTTATCATAAAAATTGAGCATAAAACATGCCAATTTAGCATATATGATTTAATAATTTTTCCATAATGCTGAGTTGTAGTAGCTAAGTCTGAGTGTTTCATGTGTACTAACTAATAAAAGAATTTTTTCGTACACTTATATAGGAGAATTTTGTAAACTTTTTTTTCGAACTGATTGTGATTTGTGGTTGCAAGCATTAGGAGGCAGCGAAGTCACTGACAATTAGGTTCACTGTTAGAAATGAGAATGTTAGATGGATTTGTGGCGAACTTAGACGCTATAGTGTTAAAAGATGATAAAACCATAGAAACCTAAGCACATTGTTGAAGATGTAGTACAGGAAAATAAATTTAGGTGATTTGGACACTTACAATGGAATGCAAAAGATGCATTAGTAAGGTGATTTAAAAAACCGTTGAAGGAAAAAAAAGGAAAAGCTGTGGCTTTATGTTAACATGGTTGGAAGTTATGCAAAAGTGGAAGAGAGGTAGAAATGCTACACAAACTAATTCTAAAACTTCTTGTATCGACTGAATGGATGAATGGAGAAGAAAGTTTCATGTAATTGACTTGAAAAGTTTGGATGAGGCTAATGATAGTGTTGACTATTGTTCTTAAGTATTGAAGTGATAAGATGCCTGCATGTCTCAAAATAACTCAAACAGTGTGAGCTTAACAGCCCTATTGTGTGGTTGAAATAACAATGTTTGTGGAATTTGTGTTAAAGCTAGGAATAAACGGTGCATCTTCTAAGCTTTGTTATGGGAACAACTAAATCGAATCAAAATATTATTTAAAAACATTATCATTAACATTGGCCTTATATTAACTATTTCACTAATCTATTAAGCCTTCCTTCACAATTTCTAGCCATGTTACCACATGTCAAACTCTCTTCCTTTTCATTCCTTTCACATTCATTCTATTTATACTTCACGATGGTGCATGTTCTAATCTTTGTTATGATGGAATTATGCAACTCAAAATAGCTACAACTAACTTTAACTTATTAAAATTAGTTTTTTCGTTATTCTTTAAATTTCATTGTGTTTTTTTTCCCAAATTTCATTGATAGTTGCCCATTCTTTTTGTTGTTTTGAGATTACTGGTTAGCTCTTGAACATTTATATGATAAAAATGGCATGCCATATACAGTTAAAGAGAAAGACTATTCATGATGATAATGATGTTGCCGAATCTAGCGAGTGGATTAATAGCCCGGGACAAGCTGAAGTATGTAGCAATTCCCTTCTGACACCAGTCTCCGGGAAAGGAGGTAGGAACTATGGTAGATCCAAAGTTGCTAAGTACTATAAATCTGGACCTCAGACTCCCATGTCAAATACTGGTAAGAAGTACCATTTTGTGCTTATGCGTTACCATGTGGTAATTGCTTGACCATGTTTGATATTTTCATCAGTTTTCAAGTTAATTTGAATTAAACACTTATTGGATAATCATGATTCTTATGAGAGTGACCAGTTCTTCATATTGATCATCTCTAAAACGTTATTAACTATATCTTGGCATGCGTTGTTGCAGGTTCTCCTAGCAATCTCGTAACTCCTGTTGCTACCTGCCGCTATGACAGTTCTTTAGGTACTTAATATTATTGCCTATCGTAAAAGTGATGTTTGTTGTTTATCTGAGAAAAATCCTTTTTTTTTACGTAAGATATATGGCTTCTCTTGATAAGAAGTTGGGATTTAATCCCGTTATGCTTCTCTTTTTTTCCGTTGTATCCACAGTGCATATTTACTTGGAAGCAATTTTGAAAAGTATAGGATACTGTTGAGCAATGTATTCATAGTATTAATTTTTGATGCTAGAGGGGCTTAGTTTTCTGGCTTATGCTGTGTTGCCATTTCAGGCCTGCTGACAAAGAAATTTATCAATTTGCTGAAGACTGCACAGGATGGTATTCTTGATCTTAACAAAGCTGCTGAAACTTTAGAGGTTCGACAGAGTTCTTTTAATTTGCTTTACTTTTGAGAAGAAGGATATTTTATGGTGAAGGTGACATGAGCAGTTTTAAAAAGATTTCGGTTGTGTAGGTGCAAAAGAGGCGCATATATGACATAACAAATGTTTTAGAAGGGATTGGTCTTATCGAGAAGAAACTTAAAAACAGAATTCGTTGGAAGTATAATTATTCATGCCCGATGACTTCTTTATTTGCTCATCTATCTCCTATGTTGACCTGGTTGAACATTTTATCTTTTTTCAGGGGACTTGATGACTTGAGGTCGGGTGATTTTGAGGACGGTGTTTCAGTTTTACAAGTATGTAGACGAACTACTTTTCTAAGGCGACACATGTGCTGCCTTTTTTTCTGAACCAACTGCTCATTATTGTTTGCAAATGCAGTTCTTACTAATTATCTGCTTTTTAGTGTCTCAAAATTTCTCTTGTATTTATTTTGTTTTTTCTATATTTTTCTCAGTCTGAAGTCGAGAAACTTGCTTTGCAAGAAAGCAACTTAGATATTCATATTAGGTAGGTTTATTTTTACCATATTTAGTTTTTATTATAGCTTTTTTATCATTATCCAAGCTTTTATGTTTCGTTACAGTGAAATGCAACAGCAAATAAGGGAACTAAGTGAAAATGAAAATAGTTCAAAGTGAGTACTCTACCCTAATGGCATGAATATGAGATTGAAAAATTTATCTATATTGGCTTTTTGATTGGCTTATGATAGTTCCATTTGTACTTCTTTTAATTTCCTTCAATTCTTTCAACAACTTCAGGTGGCTTTATGTGACTGAAGATGACATCAAGGGCCTGCCTTGTTTTCACGTTTGTATTGCCATTTTAGTTTGCCATTTGTTTTTTGGGGATATTTACATACATAACATTTAATTCCTATGTATTTAAATATCTGACACCTAAACTTTAATTTTTACACATGCCACCTTACCTATGCATGAAAATGTATATTTCACTTTTTAAAAGTTAAAATAGTAACATTTTTGATGTGATATGAAAAATTTGGGTGACAAATGTAAAAAAGTAAACTTTAGGTGTTAGATATGTAAATACATAGGAATTGGGTGAATTGGGTGGTTTGTGTGTAAATGCCCCTTTGTTTTTTTCCTGTTACTGGAGTGTCAAACATATTAGAATCATTAATGTTGTTCCTTGTTGGAAGTCAATGATTTTTTGTTTTTTTCTTCTGCTTTATCAGAATGAAACACTTATTGCAATAAAAGCACCTCATGGAACTACCCTTGAGGTTCCGGACCCTGATGAGGTCTGTAACTATTTTTGAACTAGGTATAACCAACTTCACCCAACATGCTGCTCCTTAACTGCACCCTTTTGCATATTCAGGCTGGTGAGTATCCCCAGAGAAGATATAGAATTGTCCTGAGAAGCACCATGGGCGCAATAGATGTTTACTTGGTCAGGTAATATGTACCCTAACAAACATAAACAAAATCAACTTCTTCATCTAAAAGGATGGATTATGACGTGCTTTGTAAAACATTTGTCTGAAGTTTTGCATTCCATATTCCTTCATATGTTTTTCAGCCAATTTGAGGAGAAATTCGAGGAGATGAATGCTGTTAATACAATACCTCAGCTTCCAGCTGCATCAAATGCAAACTATCTGGAGAATTCTACATTGCAAATAGTCCCAGAGCATACCAAACACCATGAAATGGAGCTTCAACTTCATGACTCAAATAGCATGAATACTGATTTAAATGCGCAACAGGATTTTATGGGTGGCAGTGGGATGATGAAGATTGTTCCATCTGATGTGGATGTAAGTCCAGCAATTCTCTCTCTTTCCATCTCCCTCCATCATGAAATGGATTTTTAATCTATCATGGTAATTTTTATTCGATATTAGAAACTTATTCTGACTCATAGGGAGCTTATTCGGTGCCAGTCAATAATATAGCACAGTTATAAGTAAGATGTGTTATGTGTAACTCTTCTAAAGAGTTTCCTACACGAACTAACTCATCCCTGGCTTTGGCTAAGGCTGTTTTTCTTTCATTTAACAATAAGATGTGATATGATTTTTTTGTTAATCATGATATTCATTAAAGTTATCTCCATGCTTATGAAGGAACTTGTCTGAAGTCTTAGTTTGGAATAGCGATGAAAGGCTGTAGTATGGAAGGCATTATGGATTAAGGTGATTGCTTGATGTGGTCATAATCTAAAAGAGAGATAATCAAATGTGGGGGAACAGAAATGTATGAATCACGTCCAAGGAAAGCAATTTGGCTTCAATCTATGAAATGTATTTAGAAGGCAGAGCTCTTGATAATAAACTAAAAGATAAATCCATGACATGTTTAAACCCAGAACTATGATCTTGAAGCCTAAATGGAATTAAATTTCAAAATATCCTAGCCAAAACTTAAAATGAACATGGTTTTGATACTGGCAACAAATTAAAGGAAAAATACATTAAATGATATTGGCCACTTGCTAGAGGGCAATAATATCAATGACCTTACCTGAAAGTAGTAATGCAAGGTAACTCTATGGTTGACTTTTGTATAATAAACATCTCAATTAGGTAACATATCCTTAATATGAAAAGTAGTCTAGTAATTACACCAATTTGCAATTAGTTTTGCATGATAGTCAGACTGGCTTGTATCTGTTAACGGCACATATATGGATATAGATCTGGATCGTTTGCTATGGTTATGAAATTATCATTATGCATGGAATTTAATTCTAAATGGGCAACAAGTAAACAAATGAACATGAATTACTTGTACTACATCAGAAGATGAGAGCAAGAGGAGTGAATGTTGTGGACACTAAATTTCGATACATGCACGGTTTGACAAAGTACTGATTTTTATTCATGAAGGTCAAACTTTTATAATGACAATCATCTCTCAAACAAGATTTAAAAGGTAGATTAAATGTTATAAATACTCAGCAACATTGCTTTTATACCATTTTGGTTAACTAGGTAAAAATTTTAGTTAAAATTCAAGCTTCATGATGAAACTCGTTAGCATAGCATCCATGATTGTCTCTATACAAGTCGAAGTTTTTTATAAGGTTTAAATATTCGAGATATAAAAAAAAAATTATATCATGCAAAATTTCAGTAGTCAAAAGGTGGTTAATTTATGAATGTGATCATTTAAGACAATGGCTTCAACATGTATGAGTAGAAAACCTCTTGCTTGTGCTTAGCTTTAGCCTTATATGCAAGTTCAAATTTATGCTTAGGTTTAATCTTAAATTATAGGTTATTTTACATCCTTCAATCTTCGACTTAATTTGAGCCATTATAAGAAAAATTTTGCTAAATACATCCTTAAAATTAATTGCAATTGGCTAGAGTGGTCTTGTTATCTGAGATTGAGATGAAGATTGTTTGGGACCTTCTCTTAAGTTGGGATGTGAATGTGGATGTAGCTTTTAGGGTTGTATGTAGAATAAGTAGGCCTACTTGGTATTTGCTAGATGAAATTTTACATGCTCCAGCTAAGTTGGACTGTTTTTGAATGGCTTAACCATGGTAGGTTTAAGATATGAGAGGCTTGCTGAATTCTACATGGCCATCAAGGGATATTGAATATGTGATTTAAAATTTATAAGTGTATCATAGATTGGATGGTGTTTTTTTTCCCCTTTTGATTGCTTTTCCTATTCATTTTCCTTTTCCTCAATAGAGGTTGAAGAGGGACCTTAAGGGGAGAGCTTTTGTAGAGGAGCACAATTTATTTTCTAAACTATTATTAGCTACCTATTTAGAGAATCTTCTTTTAGAATCTAAGAAAACAAAATAATTCATATAAACCTAAATACAATCATAAAGTGTAATTATTTGAGAACATGCTAATTTTTACAAATTCACATTATTATCTTATTTTAACCAATTTCCAATAATTTAAAATTTTTGTGTTTGGGGGGGGGGGGGGGGTGGTAAAAATTGATCCTTTCTATGCCTTGGGAGGGAAGCTGCAATTTTTTAGAGATTGGAGAGATCTAATTCATAGAGGAGAATATTGAAACATGATTCTAGAAATAAGAGATTGTTTTTAAATCATAGATAATTCAGATTGCATTCATCGAAGTTGATATATTTAAGTAGGGTTGTAAATTTATATACAAACTAAAAAGAAGGTTAAATTTAACATATTATCTAAAGGGGAATACGAGCTTTATTTTTTAAATGCACTAAATGTAATTCTATGGGCATGTAATATGGGTTTGAGTTTTATCGTGAAATTAGGATTCATGTGTTGTATCAAACCTTGAGGGAAGAAGAATTAGAATTATGCTACTCTTTAGATATATACTTGCATCATCTTCATCAACTTTGTTTGTGTAATCTTAGAATTTTTAATAAAACATTGGTTCCTCCAACGAATTAATTATTTTTGTTTTATATAAGTATTTTTGGCGATTCATCGACAATCACTTGTATTGTATTCTCAATTTGTATTGTACTTGAATGAGTAGCACATTGTTTGAAAATAAATTGAAGAATCCTACTTGAGTGCTCACCCAACTTAGAAAAAAAAAATGAAAGCCTATGACTATCAATATTATTTATAGAAAGTGAAACTCCATCAATATAAATATGTACAAGTGATTAAATGTGTTAATATGGTATTGGACCTTCAAAATACAAGACTAATGTTAAATGCTTGGATGCATATGTAAAATAAATGCATTTGAACTTGATTTATAGAGTTTTTGCAAAGATAAAAAATCTTTCCTAAGCCTTTTTTAAGTCAATAAAGTGGGTAAATTTTTTTTTTTTGGTCTAATTCTAACAAGTACACAATCTCCTTCAATAAATTATTGCTTTCATCTTCAAACCTAAGCTATAAAATTATGCTTCTCATATTGCTTAGCAATCTATAGCTCTATACTAGCCTGAAGTTTTTCCATAAGATGCACTAAATGTGAGTATCTTTTTGGTTGGGATAATAGTATGAGATCTTATTATTAGTGCATGCCGTCAACAACTTCAAACATAAAATTTTTGGTAGTATGGTGCCTTTGATTTTTCCGAGCCAATTTTGTAGTTGAGGATTAAATCCCATGTCTAAATTGTAACCAATATGAAACTCTTTTAATTGCTGTTTTATCATCATTTTGTGGATGAAGAAATTTCAAACCGACATCATATAGCTTCTAGAAAGCTGTAAAAGCTTGGTCAATGAAACATACATCACAATCATAAACTATCGAATTGTATAATCTTTCCATCTAACAATTTTTTAGGGTTTTGGGGACATTTGTAGTTTTAGAGAAAAATATCAAGTGTATGATATTTTAAAAATATATCAACCATAAAAAATATAGAATCATTTCCCATAAGTTCTTGATAAACCTAGAATGAAATTCATGCTTAGATAAATTCATGAAACATTTTGGGCATGGGAATGTTAACTCCCAAAGGTTCTTTAGTAACCTTTTCTAATTGACAGTAGTGACATCATAAAGTAACATAATGTACTTAATATCTTATTGAAGGACAATATAAACATTTTGACAGTAGCTCAGTTGTCTTATCCCTGTAACAACCCAAACTCTCACTTATCGAGATATGTCTGTTTTTGGCCTAATGTTTTCACGATTTTATCTCTGGTGTAAGTTACGAGAGGTCACCCATCACAAATTTGAAGTTATTTATGAAATTCCAATCGTTACTCCAAATTGCGCCTCTATGTTTAAGAATTAAGCTTCATTCTACTTGATGGGTTTCATAGTCTCTCCACTAAATTGATGTTCTCGTTAGTTCTCTTAACTCAAAATCATTCTCCTGGTAGATATTATTCTAAAGGCTGCCCTTATAGATTCAAGAGGTGGATTCCATCATGTATCCTATCTAGGGTTCAAGAGAGGGCTTTTATTGCGTCACATTTTTTTATGCATCTCAGTTAGTTCCCATCTCTAGGATGATGTAATGCTTTGATGCAATTTGCAGCAGGTTAAACTCTCATTCATCGAGATATTGTCCACATTGGCCAGTTGTCTTATGTTTTTTTCCAATTGGTGTAACTTCTTAGGAGGTCACCCATCCTAGTTATGTTCTTGCACATGCACTATTAACTTCAACCGTTTCACCCAGAGTAACTTTATTTTACTAAAGGGGTTTTACACTAACAATCCATCATGTTATTCATATATAGTAGTTACAGAGTGATCTGTGTTGAATTCATAGTAATGAATCCTAAAATATCCATTAATAACTTAAGAATTAGATGAAGTGATAGTTATGAAGTTTTCAGCACAATGAAATGTGGAATAAAAATCAGGACATGGAAGGTTAACTCTTCAAAATGTGTAAATCTGTTTAGCATGCTTAAACTTTAATTTTTTTTTATTATTGTAAATACATGTACTCATGATCATAATTTAACCAAACCTCTTATGGTAATAAATAGTCTCACTAATATCTACACATTAAGCCAAAGAATAAATTAATGATAATTGGCTGTGTTTATTTCCTTTACATTTGTTAATTTTCACCTAAAGTATATTTTTTGGATGACCTTATTGAATTATTACTCAGACGACGTGCATTCGTTCTTTCCCTTTGCTACTTTTGCATTGGATTTAGGGGCAATGGTTTGAGCACCTTCAACTATTTACTTAACTTTTTTCTCTTATTTACTTGAGATAGAGCTTGGAATGTTAAATTTTTTATTCTTCATTGTTTTCAATTGAGAGTGATACCGAAGTTAACCCAAAACCCACAATGAAATAATACATTATTGCTGTAATTGAAAGGGTTACAACCACGACACTTGAAAATAGGAAAAACAACGAAACAACCACACACTAGGGCGTAGGTAGGCGAGGTGGTGCCGTGGTTGAGGGGAAGTAGAGGCTACAGAGGGGTGTAAGACAGCAGGGCAGCAATCTAGTGGTTGGTGGGATTGGTTCAGCGGATAGATGGAGGAAAAGCTGGTGGAAGTGAGTTGGTGATTTCTAGATGGAGGTTGCTATATGGAGAGTTGCAAGATGTTGCCGTGACAAGGTTCAGGGTTGCAGATGAGATGGAGGGAGAACAAACTTAGCGAAAACTAGGGAGAGGGGTGCGTACGCGCGCGTGTTTGGGCTGGGGGTTGGATTAACATGAAGGAGGAGGCTGCTGGCGGGTTTGGGTGTCACGACGACGGGCAGAAATCGATAAGGGAGGAGATGGACGGTAGCCGACAATTGTAAAACAGTCGACAAAGCAATTCAGGCGGAGATAGCAACATGTTCGACTACTAGATGAAGGGAAGGGAAAATTGGGAATGAAAGATAAACACCATCTCAGAATGGGTTACAGCCAGAGCAAATTCTCGTCGCCGGATACAATCCTAGAAAGGGAAGAGGGACGCCAACGTCTGTCCTGATAGAAATCTATAAAAATAAATAAATAAATAAATAAAAAACTAAAGTTTAACACACACAATAACCTATTTATAATAAAATATAACTAGGAGGGTGGGAATCTCATCCCGTTGGGCGACATCATTCCTAAACCTAAGCAAAGGTCGGCCGGTTCAACCTCCTTGATGAACTGACAGTTTCTTGTTGAAACAGTTGGGGTTGGTTCAGCCCCAAGCCCACACTTTTGGGAGATTGGGCAACTTTCTTGCTTTTCAAGAGAGTGAAGTGCCAAAATAGTACCCAACTATTTACATTGGATCATTTTAGTATCAGAGTTTATAGAAGTGCTGAATTGGTTCCTAGATTCTTTAAATTGGGGCTAACATAGTCTTTATGAAAGACTATTAGAGTTTAAATTTAATATGCATGGGAACCAATCTGGACTTCTATAACTCTGGACTAAAACGACCCCATTTAAATAGTCAAGGGATTATTTTGGCATTTTGTTCGTTTTGGAGATGAGCACTTTCACTCACATTTCTTAAGCTTTCGGTTCCCAAGGGCCAAGGTTGGAGCTTTCATATTTTACTTCGCTAAAGTGAAAGGCAGCAGTATATGTTGTCCAATGATAGAAAGATTGTTGGATTTAAGCCTTCTTAATAAAAGGTATTGATTCTTAAAACAACGTCATATAAATAGTCAAGAAACTATTTTGGCATTTTGCTCATTTTGGAGATGAGCACTTTCACTCATATACTTCTTAAGCTTTTGGTTCCCAAGGTTGGAGCCTTCGTATATTACTTCTCTAAAGTGGAAGGCGACAATATATGTTGTCCGATGATAGAAAGATTGTTGGATTTATGCTTTCTTATTTGAAGGTATTGATTTTTTTTAGTGTTGGTCCTACAATGACATATATTCTTGAGAATACGAAGGTACCTTTTTGGATGCCTTGATGGAAATTGTAGTTTTAAGAGTCTCGGTCAGTCTTTGGGTGGCATATCGGCTTATTTGGAATGGTTCTGTTTGGCATATTGGCTTAATTTTAGGGATGATTACATACATCGAACCCAAAACATTGCTATTTACAAAATCTGGTGCTCAAGTGATATTTTTGAACTACCAAACAAATGTATTTATGCATGCCACAATCAAATCATTGAGAATTTCATAAAAATTAAAAATACATGTTGGGGTATTATCATGAATTTTGATATTTGTGCGAGGATTTGAAAAATGGATGAAAGAGGGTGCTAAATTTGTAAATAACAATGTTTCAGGTGCTATGTTTGTAATTGCCTCTTAATTTTAATATAAGATGGAGGCAAAGTTATTTATAGATTTTAAATTCCCGCACAGAGGCCAATATAATTCTTTTACGCATGCTTGCCTTATCTCAAACCCAAGATCAATATCCTAGAAAACCAAGGAGTATATCCCTTGTGCTAAGATTTTTTTGTTAGCATCTAAACATGCGAGCCTTTAATCATTTCTAATTATGCTATTAGTTGTTTCCTTTTTAAATTTAGGAAAATTTACATAAATAGCACACAATTATTATCTATTTAAATCTCACACCTAAACTTTCCTACTATGCATAGCATTTTGGTGCTTTAAACTTATGCAGGACAATGTTTATTTTACTTTTTAATAAGCAGTAATAGTGCTATTTTTGATGTGCCATGCATGTTTGGTGGGAGATATATAAATACATAAGAATTGTGTGCTATATGTAAATGCCCCTTAAATGTATTATTTTGGGCAAAATACTCATTAAATTTATTTTGAACTTGTTTTTGAGTATCATGATTGCATGTGACAATGATATAATACACAATTACAACCTAACATGTTATCTCATTGACATCTAAACATATTTACTTGAAGAAATTATTAGTTATTTTTATTTCATTTTAATGTCATGTTCAATGACTTCAACTATGTGGAAAGTAACTTAGTTAAGTTAATATTGCAATTAGTTGGATAGTTTCTTGTGAAGCACTTAGTTCACTGGCATGTAAATCTCAATGTTAGTCTAATATTTGGGGAAACTAACTATTTAACCGTTCATGTAGGTTCCAAGATGATCTGTTGTTATTTTTCAATAATTATTTATTGCTTTTATTATGTTATTATCCCAACCATTATTTCCATCAATTTATATTTCTCCCGAGAGAAAAATTGCGTCACGATGGATTTTAAGATCATTGGATTTTGCTTTAAAATGAGCTTAATGCATATCTAATCGATCAATTTTTATATCACACACATCTTTCAGCAAATCGAAAGATTTTAAAATTCATCGTGATCAAATTTTGATGGATGTATTTCATACTAATTTTATATGTTTTGTTCCGCAGACGGATGCCGACTATTGGCTTCTATCAGAGACTGGTGTCAGCATAACAGATATGTGGAGCACACCATGTATCCTTATCAAATTCACATTTTCATCCATACCACCCAATTCTTATATTTTAACATATCTAAGTCCTAAACTTTTACTTTTTGCATTTATACCACCAAATCCTTAAAAGTACGTCAAACATACCACTATTTTACATTTTAAAAAGTGAAATACACTTTTTTTATGCATAGGTAAGCATATTCACATCACATACCACCCAATACTTGCATATCTTACATATCTAACACCTAAACTTTACTTATTATTATTATTTTTTTTGCATTTATACCGCCCAATTCTTTCAAATCACATCAAACATACCACTACTTTATCATGCATAGGCAAGGTGACATATATATAAAAAATTAAAGTTTAGGTGTTCGATATGTAAATACATATGAATTAAGTGGTATATATATGTAAATCTTCCTTTTTCTTCCTCTATACTATTTTTTTTTTGGATTATATATTTAATTTCTTAATTCTAATTGAAGCTGAGCAATGGGATGGAAATCCTGATGATTTCATAAACGCTAGCATCAGCACGCCACGGCCAGAAACCCCTGCAGGCGTTACTGAACCACCTAACTCTAACAATGATCAAAGATGAGTTTGGCTCTAATTTTTTTCTTTTTTGAACTTTAGCTCGCCTAATTGAATAGCAGCAAATATATGATACAACCAACCCTGCAAAACAAAGAGAAAATTGCACGCAAAATTCATTAAAACTATCGAACCTCTCGCTGTGGATATCAGAACCAAATTCCAGAATCTTCCAGAAAGGTATAATTCAATGCTAGCGTTTCAATAATTTGCATATTACATTACTTAGACAAATTTTATATTTTTTTTTCCTATTTTGTTAGTGGGAGGAGATTTTGATATTATAACTAGCGTGGGGGTGGTGGTCATATGTAAATTAAAAATTAGTATGTTGAGGGCAAAATTTGGTTAGATTATAAATATATTGTTTCTTTATATCTAATGCAATATTGTTATATGTAGAACTCAACCAGCAATGTATACTATTCTTATTATTATTTTTTTATCAGGCATCCCTTTTACAATTACTTTTTTGGAAGATTTATATACATACCCCTCAATTCCCATGTATTAAACTTCAATTTTTACATATATCTCATCTTACCTATGCATGGAATGATGTACTTCACTTTTTAAAACCTAAAATAAAGATATTTTTGATGTGATCTAGAAGATTAGGTTGGTATAAATGTAAAATGTAAAGTTTAGGTGTTTGATATGTAAATACATAGAAATTGGGTGGTATGATGTTAATGCCCCTATTTTTTTACTGCATGAATTTTCGGCAGTCTATCAGTTATCCTCACAAATACATCATCCTACGATGTTTCCCCTTTTATACTTTTGGAAATTTAAATACATAGCGCATGATTTCTTTGTATTTACATATCTACACCTAAAGTTTGATTTTTGCATTTTATAACACTTGGTGTCAATTTATGGAATCCCGTGCTTTCAGAAAGTTATTAGTGGTATTTTTGATGTGAGTAAAGTTAGTGTTATGTATGTAAATATGAGAGTTTAGGTGTTAGATATGTAAATACATAAGATTGTGTGGTTTTTATGCAATACCAAATTTGAATTCATTGCAAGCTTCAATTTCAGGGGGATTTTCTTACGTATTACATAGTTCTTATGGGTTTGTATTTTTAACACAGACATTGATGTTTATTTATATAATATTTTAGTGTTTTTCTGTTTATGTTAGAAAAAATTACTATTAGTGGTATTTTTTATGCAATATTAAAGTATTGGGTGTTATATAAAAACAAAGCATTAAAACTTAGATGTTGGATATGTAAATTCATAAAAAATGTGTGATATACATGTAAAATCCACTAAAGTTCTAATTAATATTCACGCTTCTACCATACTTGTTAACATTTATTAATTCAAAAAAGTTGATCAAACACTCAATGTTCTTGTGCCTAATTCAAGAAAAAATATTACATCAGTACTACGCGCGTAGAGTTACGTTTGTAGTCAATAAAATCACGTCATGACATCCCACGCGATAGAAAAAAAACGGCGCAGTAACATGCGGAATATTATCCTCCCCCCCTCTGGTGTGTTATTCATGTGTTATTGTCCTGGGAACATTTGTGTTATAATAACATAATAACACACAATAACACATGAATAACATGAGGGGAAATTTTTTCTGTGTTATCGTGCCGTTTTTTTCTCTGTCGGTTTTGTTATTCTGGTATTATTGTGTGTTATTCATGTGTTATTGTGTCATTAGAATATTCTTGCTATTATAATAACACAATAACACATCAATAACACATGAATAACATACAATAACACATGAATAACACGGGAGAGAATATTCTCTGTGTTACCTCGTTTTTTTTTCTTGCTGTGTGGGGTCATGACGTGATTTTATTGACTACAAACGTAACTCTACGTGCGTAGTACTGATATAATATTTTTTCCTAATTCAGAGGTAGTTTTAGCGAATTTAGTTTATGTATTTCTCAACTATTCTATATGATTAGTATCAGACACGACATCGATTTTGAACCTCACTTTTTTATATGAATTTCCAAGTTTAGATCTCGTTCATATGGAAAATGAGTTTTGTATTTATGTCATATTTGATTTTAAAAGGTCGTAGTTCTTAAATTGCATAATGACTTATATTTGGTTTCTTGAATATTTTTAAGATATATTATTTTCCTCTATTGTTAAAAATCATATTATTTGGTTTTTTTGGAAAATGAAATTCTAGAAAAATATGAGTTATTGTGAGCTTGAGAATTTATGTATGCCTTTATGACTCATAATGCAATTCTTATGTGTTTGCATATCTCACCTCTAAAATTTCATATTTATGCATAATACTCAAATCCTTAATATCATGTCAAGAATAGCCCCGTGATCACTTTCACCTATCTTTTTATGTGTAGTTCAAAATGTTGTAAATATGAAAGTTTAAGTATGAGATATATAAATACATATAAATTGCAGGCTAGATATGTAAAATAAAATTCCCAGAGAGAGAGTAATGAATGCGGTCGGCTTTAAGCTTGCGGTTCCAGAAACGCATGAAAGCCGGCATGGCATGTGAGTTTCATATTCGAAGCTAAAGTCGTCAATGCTTCTTTATTAAGTTTTAAATTTAAAATAGTTTTAATTTTTTATTAAAAAAATAGGATTAAGTAACTTTTGAAAATGGACATTTACGCACATACCATCATATTTTTATATTTTTTTGCATATCTAGCATCTAAACTTTGATTTTTGTAATCAAAGTTTGTGTAACACATTAAAAATATCATTATTTGAACTTTTAAATTGTGAAATACATCTTTTCATGTGTAGGCAATATGTAATTCTATTAGAATTGAGGGGTGTTTCTGTTAATTTTCCTAAAAAAGTATAAATTTGGTATTTATGTATATTTTTACGCCAAATATCATATATTTAAATAATAACACAATTTAGAAAAGGGGGTCGGCTGGTCTAATGGGTGCATTCATTTTTTTATATGATTATATTTTAATTTTGTTATCTTAACCAGACTCATAAATAAAGTTTTTTTTTTATTAAAAATAGTAAAATATAATTAAAATATCATGTCTTCAATTTTTTAAAATTAAAGTAGGTTTAGAATACTTAAGAATGAAGTGATTTGTTGACTTGTAATATTATATATTAAATTAATAAATAAATGTTATTTTTTTATTATTTTAATTATATTTAAATAATTTTATTATTTATTAAATTGATTAATTTAACTCTCAGATTTATTTCGATTGATCCCTTATATTTTAAATCTTCTCTTGGTTCATTTAAATGATATTGAAATAATCTAACCTTTAAGAAGTAATATATATACACATAATAATTCTGTGGTATGCATGTAAATCATTTTAAGGCGGTGTTTGGTGTTTGGTACCAAACATTTAATAAAGATTTAAGGGTGGATTTAACATAAATCTACTCAAACACGAGAAAACCAAGAAGTGATTCGCTAAATCCAAATTTCTTTCCGTTCAGCTTCTTTACTTTTCAACATAAATCCTGAATCCGAATTTTAGGTGAATTTAACACATTTAGTTTCAGGCAATTAAATCGACAAATAAATATAACTTTTATCTCTATATTAACTTTTAATTTGGTAAATATACATTATCTATAAAAATTTAGTTGTATTATATGTAGATACATTACATTGAGTGGCTTTTAAGTATACCTTCCTAACTCCTAAGGAATATAATTATAGTAATTAATCACCTATTTTTAGTCAACTAAATACAACATTCTCCTTCTCCTCTTTTCTTAGGTTTTGTTTGAGGGAGCTTCATTGTTTCTTCAAAAATCGCTTCCGCCGATGGAGCCAACCCTACGTGATCGACAACGTCCAAATTTCACCGTTTTGCGGAAGTAACGTCGGGTTTAACAAAATGAGAAATTTTTTAGCCGTCGGCGTTGCACTAAACGGAACGGAGCTTCACCGATAGGTCAAAGGTCAAACGAAGCCTTAATCCTTTCCTCCATGCATGGATCTATTTATCTTCTCCACCTCTCCCTCCCTCAACAAGCTTCTAAACAACTGTCTTATGTCCCTCTTTATTCTCCTTCCTCTCCTCACCATCATCTATTTCTCCACCACCATCAATCAAACCTTATCTCTATTCTCCTTCCCTCAGCTCTCCATTAATGGCCGCTCGGAAAGCTGTGATTTTTCTAACGGAAAATGGGTTTTTGATGAATCTTATGCTCAATATTATACGGAGGAATGCCCCTTCCTCGACCCTGGATTTCTCTGCCGCTCTAATGGAAGGAAAGATATGAGCTATCTTCAATGGCGATGGAGCCCTCGCAGCTGCGACATGCAAAGGTTCTATTTTTATATGGCATTATATAATTTGTTTGATTTACCTATTTACCCGCAAAAGTTTTATGTATTTATGTATCCAACACCTAAACTTTTGTATTTACAAATTACATACAGACCACCCAAATCTTGTTTTTTACAAATCAACCATCTTTCATGTTCTCACTCAAATATCAAAATTCACGGCAAAACCCCAAATTCTTAATAGTTTCATGGTGGCATGCATAATGTGGTTAAGAAAAAACCAGCCGGGTGGATAATTGGTAAATAACAATGTTTTGGGTGGTCTGTATGTAATTATCCTTTTTACAATATTGGATGTTATAAACATGTTCATGAAAATGTATGCTTAAATTTTAAAAAGCTATTAGTAATGATATTTTTATGTGATATTAACGTTTTATGCAATTAAATATGAAAGTTTAGGTGTGAGATATGTAAATACATGAGAATTTTGTTGTATGTATCTAAATTTCCCTTCTAAAATCATTAATTTTATTTTCTTTAATTACTATATATTCTATAGTTATAAGCCTTGTATATATCTTTCTATCCAATCACCAATCGTATTCAGTTATTCTTAATATATATTATATATATATATATTATGCCGCGTTCTCCGACTCTTTGGTTGACATATGCTATGTCAGTTCTAAGCCCCTTGAGATTAAGAATTCGATCCCGCTGGTATGCGGATCCGTCGAGTGATTAGACACATGAGGTTGATTTGGGCTCATATAATAGTCTCTTGCCAATCTTATATATATATATATATATATCTTGATTTCATTGTTGCCTTATATTTCAAATATTTAAAATTGCTAAAATACACTATGTTGCAATAAAAAAAATTACAGGTTCAATGCTAGCATGATGCTAGAAAAGAGCAAAAATAAGAGAATACTATTTGTGGGGGATTCAATAGGGAGGAATCAATGGGAATCTCTAGTATGCATGTTAAGGATAGGTGTCACAAATCAAACTAGGGTTTATGAGAAGAATGGGAACCCAATCTCCAAACACAAAGGATATCTTATCATTCTCTTCGAAGACTATAACCTAACCATTGAGTACTACAGAGCACCTTTCCTTGTGGCCATCGGTCGACCTCTTCCACACTCTCCCAACATTGTTCGTAGGGCGATTCACATCGATACGCCTCATTGGGATTCCAACAAGTGGGTTGGTGCTGATGTCATTGTCTTCAATGCTGGGCATTGGTGGAATATTGATAAAACCCTAAAGAAGTACGTAAATATGTTTTTCCCTCTTTCTTTTTTGGTTTCATATTTAATTGCTCTCAATGTATTTTTGCTTCTTCTAAGGCCTCCATGGGCTTCCTATAGTTTCCTTTAAAGATAAGCTATTATTAGTCTTATAGACATCTTCTTTCTTTTTTTTTTTTTTTTTTTTAAAGGAACTATGTTATATCTAGGACAGTGCCCACCCTAAAATTTGAGATTTTTTATACAAATAATAAATCAAAATAATTTTTTTTTATAAAGTTTGGGGAATTTAATAATGTTGCCTCCTCTCAGTAAATTTTTTTTTTTTACCCAATACTTAGAAAATTTTAAATATTTGATGATTTTAATCACCTTAGAGAATAAAGATGGCTCCACTCTGGAATTTAGTGAGTCTTATTTATAATATTAGCAGATGTATAAGATTATTACTTGTTGTTGTCCAATTTTTTCTGCAACATTGACATGTCATGAACAAATTTCTATCATCTTGCACGACTCTCGAGACATAATATAGATCTCAAAGCAATATCTTTGAGCAAAAAATGTTCAAACTTTGATTAAGTGTAATGGAGAGCTCCAATTTTAGCAAAATTATAGAGTCAAACTTACCGGCTCGACAAGATAAATCCACCGAGTCCAAGATCACCCAATTTCAATATCATTAAGACACTTAAATGTCCATCGGATATCATTTGATCAAATCGTTTGATCAGGGAATTTCTCAAGGTCGTTCGATCAAAGTGATTTATATTCCAACATGAATTACACCCAAAGCTCTATAAATAGAACCTCACCTCTCTCATGAGAGGGGGGAGGAGAACTCGAGGCTTGGCTAAGAGCTTAAAGTTTTGAGAATGAACTAAAGTTTAACATCATCACCGCCAACCGTCGTTGACTTTCGTCAACTGCCATCGACCACCATTGATTGTCGTTAATCACCACTCACCTCCGTCAAACACCACTGACCGTCCTCAATGATTGCCAACCTCCGTCGACCACTACCAACTAGAAGTCGTCTGTTCCTAACAACAAATTCATCAGCACATCGACGTTATAACTTGAAAAACCTATTAGCTTATTTCTGCCAATGGGACAAGTGGTTGCAACCATATTCCTCTTTTTATAGTGAAACACTTCAGCCGGGTCAAACTCTGTAGTTTTTCTCTTTTTGGGTTTTTCACCTAAAAACTTCTAGTATCATTATTAGTTGTTTTTTCTTTTCTGAGTGTCTGTTGAAACTTTGTACCGCGCTAGGATGATAATCTACTACTATATTGCCGTGAAATTTCTAGCACACATGAAACATATATATAATTGTGGTTTACTTTTGTTTCTATATAAAATGCTATATAATAAGACCATAATAAAGCATGGGATAGGATTTGATGTACTTATCAATGTAATTAATGAGCCTAGCTAGCTAATTGATTTTGTGAGTTTAAGATTGAGGTTGAACACTCTTAATAAGTTACATAAAGAGAACCCATAATTAATCTTGTATTATATATTCTCTATGTAAAAAAAAAAAAAAAACATATATATTACATATTATTCTTATGTAAGAATATGCTTAAATTCAGAATAATGCGGAATACAAAATTCTTCATTATTTCATTGATATGAACGAGGGTATAAATAATTCTTACAAGAATTATATAATAGGAAAAATAATAAAAAGAAAATAATATGAAAAAAAGATATATCACTTGATATCTCCAATAATTAATTTATATTAATTATTAGGAGATATAAGAAATATTGTAAAATAGGAAAACAAATCTTTCCTAATCCAAGGAAATAAATATAAAATAGGGAAAAAAATATCTCATTATATTAAAGAAATAATTTATACCTCATAACTTCTTATAAGAATAAATTATTTCTTATTATAATTCTTAACAAAAATGAAAATAAATGCTGTAATTTAAATTAAATATTTCAACATTCCTACTCAAGTTGACATGAAGATATCTTTCAAAGTCAGCTTGCACACTAAACCATCAAACTGTCTTTTGTGAAGACCCTTTGTTAGAGTATTCGCAGCTTGGTCGTTAGAAGGAACATATATCATGCATATATATCTTCTGTCAATTTTTTCTTTCATGAAGTGCTTGTCTATGTCTACGTGTTTTGTTCTATCATGAATGACAGGATTGTGGGTGATGACGATGACAGACTTATTATCACAGTACACCTTTATTGGCGGCAGAGTATAAATTTTTAACTCCTTGAGAATTTTTCTAATCCATAGAACTTCATATATCCCATGAGCAACAAATCTGAATTCAGCTTTAGCACTGCTTCCTGCCACGACACTTTGCTTCTTACTCCTCCAGGTTACTAAATTTCCTCCTCGAAAAGTGCAGCATTTGAGGTTGTCCTTCTATCTGTTACACTCCCGACCCAATCTGACTCTGTAAGCACTTCTATCTGTAAGTGCATACTTTTCTTGAACAGTAGTCATTTTCCTGGCGTTCCTTTTAGATACCTAAGGATCTGATAGATAGCATCCAAGTGATGAGTATTTAGAGAATGCATAAACTGACTTACTATACTGACAATAAATGCTTTATCAGGACGAGTGGTGACAAGTAGATTAGTCTTCCCACTAGTCTCTGATATTGTTCTTTGTTAACACCATCTATTTTATTTCTCACTTGTAACCTTTTTGTTGGCTCAATCGGGGCCGAAGCATTCCGGTTTCACTGAGTAAATCGAGTACATACTTTCACTGATTAATAAAAATCCCTTAGATCTGACAAACTCAATATCGAGAAAATATTTTGCATTTCCCAGATTTTTTATTTTGAATTATGTGGCCAATCTTTCTTTCAATATCTCAACTTTCCTAGCATCATCTCTTATAAGAATAATATCATCGACATAGACAATGAGCATAGCGAGTTTACCAGTTTCTGAATGTTTTTAGAACATAGTATGATCAACTTGACTCTGAGTGTATCCATATTATGTAATCACATTTTTAACCTCTCAAACCAGGGGCAAGAAGATTGCTTGAGCCCATACAAAAATTTATTTAATTTACACTTTGTCTACTTCAAACTTCTTCTTAAATCCTGGTGGAAGATCCATGAATACCTCCTCCTCTAATTCACCGTTTAGAAAATCATTTTTTACGTCGAGCTAATGCAAGAACTTTTACGTCGAGTTGATGCAAGAGCCAATCAGGGTTTGTTGCTATGGACAATAGGACACGAATGAAATTGATCTTGGCTACCGGAGCAAATGTCTCATGATAGTCGATTCCGTGAGTTTGAGTGAATCCTTTTGCTACTAATCTTGTTTTATATCTTTCGACACTCTCATCAGCTTTGACTGTAGTAGTGAAGACCCATTTACAATCAACAGTAGACTTTTCTCTTGGTAGAGTGACAATTTCCCATGTTCCATTTTTCAAAAGAGCATCCATCTCTTCCTTTACTGCAATTCTCCTGGTTTTTATTATTTTCAACAACTATTTTTGGTTCTTTGTTTTCACGGACTTCAGGTGTACTTGGTGTTCGAACAACTCTTGGTAATGGATTAAAAATATGCCAAAAATCATCTTCTTCATCTGTATTATACTCCCTCTGAAGTGGATTTTTATAAAAGAAGATAATTTTTTTCATGAAGATCACATCCATACTAATGTAAGTTTTTTTGTGACAATTTTAAAGCATTTGTACCCCTTTTTGTTTGAAGCATATCCAAAGAAAATACATTTTTCAGATTTTGGATATAATTTTGATCGAAATTTATCTAGAATATGAATGAAACATGTGCATCCAAAGATTTTTAAAGGAATATTTGAAGACATTCGTAGAATTGAAAAACTATTTTTTCTGTTTGTTTAGAAGAGTTGTATATTAAGTTGTATATTGTAAAACTCGAGTTGATATTCGGTTTATTAAATATGATGTTGTTAAAACAACGTCCCCCCATACATATTTATGAACGTTCATTGAAAACATAATAGCCCGAGCAACCTCAAGTAAATGTCTATTTTTTCTTTCAGTAATTTGATTTTGTTGTGACATGTTACGACAAGTAGATTGATGAATAATGCATTTATTTATCAAAAACTCCCATAAACATTTATTAAAGTATTCAGTTTCATTGTTGGATATAAGGATGCATATTCTAGTTTCAAATTAAGTTTCAATCATGTTGTAAAAATCTTTAAAGAGTTTTTCAACTTCTGATTTTTTGTTTATAAGATAAACCTAACATAGTCTGGTGTGATCGTTAATAAAAGACACAAATCTTCTTTTCCCATATAATGTTTTGGCTTTTGAAAGTCCCCAAACATACACTATGGATCATGAAAAAATATTTTGAAGGATAATATAGTCTTGGAGCAAAATTTATGTGATGACTTTTTGTTAAATAACACGTTTCACATTGAATTAAAGCACAATTAACACCCTTAAACAAATTAGGAAATAAATGTCTTATATAAGAAAAACTTGGATGACCTAATCTAAGATGCAATTCCATTATTTTTTCTATTGTAGGGTTTGAACCCATACTGTTGAAAGCTTGAACCATTTTTTTACTATGAACAATCTCCTTAAAGTAGTAATGTCCTCCTATCTTTTTAGCTTTCCCAATCATCATCTCTGACTTCTGATCTTGAAAAACACAAGAAGATTCACAGAAAATTACACAACAATTATAATCCTTTGAAAGTTTGCTGACGGATAGAAGGTTACATTTGAGTTTTGAAACATGAAGTACAACTTTAAGACCTATACTCTTGGACAGGTTAATGTTTCTTTTCTAGCAATGGAAGAGAAACTATCGTCAGCAATAGGAACATTTTAATGGCCAAAACATATGATGCATGAATCAAATAAATAATGTAAATTTGTCATATGATTAGAAGCTCTCGAATCAAAAATCCAAGGGTTTAGTTTTTTACGTGCATGTACCATCGAACAATTTGGAGTGCCAGTAGCCAAACTGGGGTTTAGCAGATTCAGGAGTTGATCGATTTGCTCTCATACCATGTTTAAATTCAGAATAATGCGGAATACAAAATTCTTCATTGTTTGATTGATATGAACGAGGGTATAAATAACTCTTAAAAGAATCATATAGGAATAAATTATTTTCTATTCACCTGATATCCGATAGGAAAAAAAAAATAAAAAAAAAAAATGATATGAAAAGAAATATATATCACCTGATATCTCCAATAATTAATTTCTATTAATTATTAGAAGATATAAGAAAACAATTGTTTCCTCATTCAAGGAAATAAATATAACATAGGAAAAAAAATATCTCCTTATATTAAAGAAATAATTTATTTCTCAGAACTTCTTATAGGAAGAAATTATTTTCTATTATAATTCTTAACTGGAAAGATACTAAATCTTGTAATTTAAGTTAGATATTTCAACGTAATATCATTTTTACCTACTTTTTAGAAGTTGCATAAACATTCTCATGCATCAGTTTATAAAACCAAAGTGTGATAATATAAATATAAAATTTAGCTAGAAATGTAAAAACATAAGAATTGTGTGGTATTTATGTAAATTTCCCAACTAAGTTTTTTTGCATTATAATGCACATTTCAGTGGAAATTATTTTCAAATTGGCAACACACTAAACATGACAATGGAGGTTGAAGAAGCATATCGCAGAACAATTCGGACCATAAAACATTGGGCAGAGGAGAAACTTCTTCCCAGAAAGAGCTGCGTCTTCTTCAGAACCTACTCTCATGCACACTACAGGTTTAAGTCCTTTAAATTATGTAATTTTTCTTCACATTTTTGTAATTTCAAGTTTATAAGGGATAATTACATGCAGACCACTTGAAACATTGATATTTACGATGCCAACCAGCTGTATTTACGTGCGCCAATATCAAACTATTGAGATTTTGATAAAAATGAAAAATATGGGCTCGGTTTTTACCGTAAATTTCCATATTTGAGTGATTGATTTATAAATTGCAAGTTTTTGGGTTGTTTTATTTAGAAAATTTGCATACATATCATTCAATTCTTATCTATTTACATATCTAACTCCACCACAACTTTGTTTTTTATATTTATACCGCTAAAATCTCTTTATGTAAATTCTAAATGTTAGATATATAAATAAATAAGAATTGTGTGGTATTTATGTAAATTCACTTTTTTTAATATATATATATATATATATTTTGTAAATGCAGCAATGGCACATGGGACGCAGGAGGCAACTGTGATAATGAAACTGTGCCTAACGCTGAGGGCGATAAGTTGCGCTCAGAGCCGTGGAGCAATCTGGTTATATCAGAGGTGCTGAGGGAGCAAACGAAGAAGAAGGAACACGATAAAAAGATGAGTCTCCTGAACATAACTTATCTCTCCGGGCACAGATCCGACGGCCATCCTTCAAACTACAGAGAACCAGGAACACGTGTCGGCGCCCCGCAGGATTGTAGCCATTGGTGCCTTCCTGGCGTGCCCGACACTTGGAATGAGATTCTATGGGCCGATCTCCTCTCCATGGGCTATGGGCCATGAAAGAAGTGCAGCGCCGAGGACTGTGTTTGTGGAAGCACACAGCCAAGGAATAGAACGTCAAGAATAAAGGAGAG